TATATAAATTATTATATATAAATATTATATATAAAACGGTGACAGACTCTGTGTGTTGTTAATACATTTTCATCATACAGTGCTCTTTCATGTTTCCTATCCCTCAGCATTTAGCTGTAGCCATTTGTGAGCATCTAGTGTACATTATTTTCTAGTAGACTAACCACTAACTCTTCTTTATTGTAGGTTCCAGTGCTGGAGCTGGGAGTGGGGAGTTTCATGTGTACCGACATCTTCGTCGGCGAGAGTACCAGAGGCAAGATTTCATGGATGCCATGGCTGAGAAGGTCAGCAGGACTCTGTAATTTCCCCCCTCTCCCGATTATTTGATGCTCATTGCAAATCTTTTTTTCTTTTAAAGTCATGTACGAGCAATTCTGTTCCAAACCACCCCATATCAGAGGAAAACTGTAGGAGTGTGTGGCATGTGGTGTCTTTGTCTTTGAAACATTCAGTGCTGTGTGTCAGATGTGCTCCATCTTCTCTGTTCACTGGGGTTCTACCACACAGTAAGACCACACCTGAATGTGTGTGTTCTCAGGTTGGTTTGAAAATGCTTTAAAAACTAGAATCCCCAATATCACTGTGTTGCACAGACAGAATCAAAGCAAGTGCCTGTGCACAGAGTCCTTCTTTTACTGGTTGAGTAGAATAGCACCTCTTTCAGAGAGCATTACTGTTACACTCCATCTTGGCCAAGATGAGTCCTTTGATCTGTATGTTAATGTCTATGTCTCAAATTATTCTCTTGTTTTTACTGAAACATTCTTTAGGGCAGAAGCCAAACCTCCTTCATCTGTTTTGTTGAGGATTCGTCCCTCTAAAGGCTTCAATACAGAACTCATCCCTAGGAATATGGCTTTGATATAAAGAAGCCAGACAAAATCTGACAAAGCTCCCTTCTGTATTTTGCTAAAAAACTTCTCCCTAAGAGGACGTGACTTTTAAAATAAGTATTTTAATTTAGATTGTGACCAAAGTATGTGATCAATTACAGCAAAGACTAGATGAGGAATTCCAGAAGAAACTGGAGAGGAATAAGATGATGGCAGAAGAACAAACAGCAAAACGCAGAAGGAAGCGGTAAGGGCAGATTGTTCCCAGGAGGCTTGACATGGAAACCCTCATGCCCCGTGCCCCATCTGTAGCTGCATGCTTTGGATAAACACTATCATTCTGTGTCTGCATCTATCAGCTGAGAAGTCTGGCTGTGGAAATTAATTTTGTTAATGTCACTGGTTTCTAAAGGTAGCTGGAAATTTGACAGGCTTTGCTGGCATGGTTTATTTTCCTTGCCATTGCTAGCAGGATAACTTGACTAGTTGAGCAGCTTTTGCTGGCACTGCGGTGTTGATTGCAACACGCCTTACTGTGTATTTGTTATAACAATGTCAGGAAAGGTTTGTGTGTACATCTGGCTTAAATAAATACCTGAAACAGCTGACACCAAGCTTAAGTGCAAAAATGGGTGGTGCTTAATGGGTACAGGTACGGATTCGGACTAGCAGAGCGTGGTGGGGCCTGATGCTGTCCTCCATACACTGTCAGTGTGACTAGTCCAGTTCAGTCTGTGAATACTGAAGGGCCACTGATGGGTGCAGCATTGTTAAAATCAGTAGCTATTTCTGCCTTGTTGAAATATCTGCCAGGTCAAGACAGGAAAAATTAAAAAATATTAAATCCATCCTTCTCTTAAGTTTTAGACAAAGTGAAAAGAGTTAAAAGATTGATGCTCTCGGGAAATAGTCTAGGCATTGTAATGCAGTGGTACAAGAATTTAAATTCCACAGTCTCTGCCCACCATACCTTTCAGAAATAGCAGTGTATTGTGGCTTGGCTTTTTCAGAGGGTCTGAGCCTGAGCAGCCGCTTTCTTGCTTCTTTGAGAATGAGGGTTTAGCATCTTGTAGCCGAGAGTCGCTGCTGAAAGGCCTGTGCACAGTGACTCACCGGTGTATTAGCACAAAAGTGCACAACACAAACACTGTTGCCCTTTTACTTTAATTTAGTGTGGTCCAACAGATGGCCAGCAAGTCAGATCTGGCCTGCTGCCTTTTCCCTGGCTGAGATGGTGAACAACTGTTCAAACAGCAAATGCTGCCTAAACACTCCCAACACCTCCTTGTTCCCCTTCTATAGTCTAATGGTGCGTAGGCACCGAGCAGCTTTGCCCTGTCGGAGCCCTTCTAACTTCCCTCACCATCCTTTCTATTCTGTCCTGACCTATCAGGTACAGTACTTGGCTCTTTGTTTCAAGAGAATTCATTTATGGTGTTGAGAGTGGAGCATGAATCCAGGTTGCCTTGCCCTGCCCCTGCCCTTATACTGCCTGGTTACCTTTGCTAGGCAAGCAGAACTGGGTCCTATGAACTGAAATTCCCTCTTACTCATAGCGTTGCTCCTTGGGCCCCACATATTAATGAAGTAAGACAAAGATGAAGGTCAAAGCATACTGCATTTTTTTTTTTTTTTCAATTAAAGTATATATTACTGATGACTTAATTTTTTTTTCCCCCCGTGTTCAGTTCCATCCGTCTGGATTTTGACACCATTTTCTCTTTCTGTTTATTAGACTAGGGAGCGAAAATTTGAGGCGGTTTCATCATTGTTCTTTCTCTGTTCTTGGAGACTCTTGTATATCATACAGTTTCAGTTGCAGTGGCATCAAAAAAATTCCATTAGACTGAAAAGAACATAGAAGAGTTTCTATTGATCATCTGTCTTAAGTTTTTTCTTGCTGAATTTTCAGTTGAGCCCAAATTTAAATTGAACTTCTCTTCTGAAGTTTGCTTTTCCAAGATGTCTGTAATATGTCCATTATCAGTATATGAATATGCAGAAGCTTTACAATGTTGAATTTGCAAAAGAATCTTTTTTTCTTTACTTTATAGCCAGAAGTTAAAAGAGAAGAAACTGCAAGCTAAGAAAAATAAACTTGAACAAAAGAAGCAGGAAAAAGGTCAGTGAAATTTAGTTTTTTTTTTCTCAAGAGTTAGTTCTGTTCCCTAACTGAAGCCTGGAAGGGTTTGTTCCACCCCCTGCCCCAAGCATTCTCAACACATGGATAGGAAGACTGAGCCTTAAGCTTGTTATTTTAGCTAATGTTTCAAAAGTCCTCTTTGAAAGCCATCTATGCTGAGATTTAATCTTACAAATAACTTGTCTGTTTGTGAATATTTTCCCTTTATTAGGGGAAGCTTTGGACAGCAAACATTGGAATCCGAGTTTCTTGATTGCGGATGTTTTGCCCCAGCTACTCTGACAAACTGCAGATTTAGAACATCTTCTGCTAAAAAAAAGCAGGATTGTTAAGGGCTGTTCTTCAATATATTTTGAATGTGTAAGGGAAAACAAGTGGAAAAAATGCACACCTTGGAGAGCAAGAAACTGAGTTATGATTTTGTGTGTAAGAAATCAACCACCTGGTGGCATCTGTTCTACACAACTATTTTATTTTGCATAGAGATAAAAGTGAAAGACCTGAGTGCCTCTGTTCTTCTGCAGACTTGAAAATTAACCTTCAGTAATGCCAGTCTAACTGCTAGCTCAAACTTCTGAATACTCGTTGCTTCCTTTCAGTGTGTATATTTTAGCTTAAATAACTGTCCTTTGTGGATTAGCACACTAACTCTGCAGTAATTCTTATTCTTAGTTACAACAGGTTCTGATAATTCTGCTAGAACAGTGACTTGTCTGATAGTTCTGCCTTATTTCTGCTTTGCTTTTCAGAATTGGATGTGTTTCAGCTGAATAACTGCCAGCCTCCCGTGTAAACATGGGAGGACAAATTAATCATTAGGTCAATTTTACTTGTGACAGCAAATGAATGTAGCAGCGGGGTTTTTCTGGTGCTTTGTTTTGTTGGGATTTTTTTTGGGGGGGGGGTTTTAAAGCTACTCGTTTATGAATTCTGACTGGGAGGAGAATTTAAGCATGAGTCAACATTTTTGTCAACTTTAAGTGAACAAAACAGAATACCCATCCCTTTAGGGAGTGGCTGAGAGAGAAGGGAGCTGGATCAGGGACTGGCACTGTGGCATGGGCCTGCCATGTGCCAGTTGTTGGGCTGGAGTGTTTTTGTTCAGCACAAGTAAGTCATCTTCTGGATGCCAGAATCCAAACTCCCCTGTCTTTAGAACCATTCTTAGCTCTTTACAAATTGTGGTTCTCTATTTAAAATAATAATAACCATTTAAAAATCAGTGGAGATACAAGCCACTGATAAGCCATCTTTAGTCTACTGAGAAAAGGCTTGTCTATTTCTAGTTTTGTGTGTGCCCTGGGTTGAGTTCTGAGAGGGTTTTTCCAGATCAATTGAAGTGTATTTGTTGGATGCAGCAGGCAAGCATTTATCTTCCTTTTTGAATTAATAAATAAAACCTCTGAATTTCCATCTTTCATCTTCGTTGTAGTAAAAAACATTAAGAATAAGGTTGGTGCTAAATAAGGTCAGCTGTTAAAGTTGCATTATTGTACAGACCCCTAATAAGAAATGAAAGTACAGAACATCACCACGCGGTGGCATCAGACCATTAATCCTAAATCCTGCGTGTAACTGGTGAGAGCAGGAGCTGAGTGTGACTTGGCCTGAGAAACAGTAAACATACAAGAGCTGCTGGGGGCAGAGGAAGGGCTGTTAGATTCAGGTCCCACTTTATGCTGTACCTAATTTCATTATCCATTATTTAATTTCTAGTAGATGTTTTCTGGGGTTTTTTTTAGCAGGCTTCAAGAGTTTTCTATGACCTTTGTTAATCTTACACATATCGTAAAAAGTTCCTGCGCTTGCAGTATGCCAGTCTGTAAAAGTTCATGGCACCTTGTGGAGTTTCTGTAAATTTGGATAGATGTAGAAATCTGCTGAGTCTTTTCCGTGGTTTCCCAGTGCCTGCATTCTGTTACCCTACTCTGTGATACTTGAAAGCTCAGGCCAACATGCAGAGGTGAGTTTAGGAATGAGATAATCCATCACCTCAGCGTTTGACTACCTCTGTTTGCAATAGTGTTCCATAGCAGGTGGAGTTGTTAATGATGGACTTGGCACAGTGGTAACCTTGGAGGTAAGGGAATATTTCTCCAAGGGAGAATTTGATATTCTGGGCTCTGCATTGCTCAGTAGAATTAATATAACCTGATACATGTTTCTTTAGTATCTGGGACTACTTTGTTGTGAGATATTTAACAAGGATGACACATGGGAGTATGTTATCCATTGGTACTAATTAGCGTGACCTCATACACGTTTCCTTAGCACTTGAGACTGTTTTGTTGTGAAATACTTAACAAGGGAGACATGTGGGAATATGTTAGCAATTCATACTGTTTGTGTTTTTAGAACCTGATCAATCTCAAGAGCAAGCCAGCAGCGAGGATGAAGAAGAGGATAGCAAGGAGGAAGAAGAGAAGGAAGATGATGCTGAAGAGCCAAGTTTTGTGATGGGAAGAGGATGAGGCCTTTCAGGGACAGCTGGAAACACTGCTCATTGCTTTATATTCAGAAGCATGAAAGTCTTTCATCTCAGCCAAGCAGAACCCATTGGCATACGTTATATCTGCTTAACAGTGAATGACCTGCACGTCACAGGCCCAAGAGATATTGATAGAGAAATGCCAGATAAGAGATTCTTTTCTTAATTGCTTGGATAACTGCTGTGCAGTCTGCTCTAAGTTTGCTCTAAAGAGTCAGCCATAAGTCTCTGTGACCCTAGAGTTCTTTCTGACATGGCCCAGAGTGTTTTTCTGCCTGAAAGCTAAAACATATCCATTAGCTTTTAAGGAAAATATTACTGTGAGGGCTACGTATTCTACTTATGTCGAAGCTGGTAGCAGTGGGAGACATGAATCTAAGGGAATTAAAAGTTTAACCTAAAGTAGAAAAGTGATCTGTAGCCAGACTCTCCTGCACTGTGAGTGTTCTGAATTTGAGGTTTTGTATGGGGTCATCTTTAACCCAAAGAAACCAGTTTATGTTGCTAGACAAGTTCTATAGATTTTTAAGCAGGATCCCTTTTTTATTGCTAAAACTTTCCCTATTACTTTTCTTCCGTGTTTTTTAAACGAATAAAGGGGATGTGTTGGATTGTTCTGTCTTTTTTTTTTTAAGAGGATTTCAGTAAAATAAAGAGATGCTTGCAGTGCTGCAGGAAGGAACAAAAAGACCAAGTGATGTGGTGGACATGAAAATACAGAAACAGGTGTTAGCTGCATTTCATTTACTTTTTGCTTTTGGATTGGAACAATATCTTTTCCAAAAGATTATGTCTGTAAAGTCTCCAAATCCTGTGGCAGAAGGGCTTGGAATGGAATGGTTTTGCTTGTGTTCAGCTTTGTGTAATGATATTTGCCTTTCTGCTTGAGCTCTCTGCTTTGAACTTCGGATTGCCTGGTAGGAATCATAACATCCATATATATA